GACGCTTAACGACTGAGCCACCCAGGCCCCCCATGGACCTTACTCTTTTAATCCAATCTGTTCATGTTTGCTTTTGATGGGAGTGTTTATCTTTTTTCCCCCGTCCGATGTAATTACAGTTCCGTTTGGGATTAAGTCCACCAATTTACAATTTGTTTTCAGTTTGTTCTTTGTCCTTCTTTTCCTGGCCTTTTAAATAATTAATTGACAATTCTTACACAAGTGGCAGCAGGCTGTATGCACCATAATACACCTTATTTCACTTCATTTATCGTAAGATCTTTCCATGTCCGCACATAGAGATCCACCTCCTTTTTCACCACAAAGTGGATTATCAGAGAATAACTCAGATGTGTGAGTGTTCTCCACATGCAAGTTAAATGGACTCGTTTGAGGGAAACAGTTAATAGACGATGGTTACCAGCAAACCAGGCAAAAGAATGTTTACTTAGAAAGAGACCCGCAGTCCGGGGCCAGAGTGCGGGACGGGGCTCAGCTCCCGGCCGGCTGGCTGTGAGGCAGTGCGGCCCGCCACTGGACTTCCAGAGGTAGTATTCTCATTTTCATCTGTTAAATGATTAAAGGAGATGCGAACCTAACTTAACACTTCGCAAAGCGGAGCAAGGCAGGAAGCTTCTATAGAATAAAGAGAACAAGAAGAGGAAAACAGAATATTTCGGATTGGCGGGGGCCACACAGTCACCCTTGTTTGGGGTCAGAAGGAACGAGGAAGTAAGGATGGAGCCCGGGGTGGGTGGCGTGTGGGGACTGCAGGGACTGGGTCCTCGGAGTACCTGCAGGGACCAGAAGTGATGGCCAGAGCAGCTCCATGCATCTTGAGCCCTGAAAGTTATCTCAACACCTCAAAACACTATTTTAAAAACTTAAATTCATGTATAGGTGAAATTTAGAGTTCCCATGAAATCACAAGTCTGATGGGCTAAATGATCTGCCACATCCCGCCTTGGGAAGCCTGGGGCTTGGGTGGGAGAGGCCTGGATGGAGGCCGGGGTGCCTTGCCCGGAAGACAATGTGGGATGATTCATTTCACATCCCTGAGCCTGCTTCCTTGCCTGAAGCTAGAGTGATTAATAGAAGGTAACTCGAAGGGAGGCTAGGGAGAATGAGAAGTATTTTCAAGATGGCGGACCAGGTTCCGAAGGGTGGAGGTAGAGTCTCAGGAACCCGCTGTACCCGAGGGGACTGACGTCCCGCCTCACCTCCCAGCCGGGGACCCACCTGGGCTGCTTTGTCAGCATCGAGGCCCAAACTCAGCAGCCTGAAGGACCTTCCTTAAAAAAAAAAAAAA